AGTGTTCGTACGAAAAAGGTGGCAGTAAGGGAAATAATTCGAAGAAATCCTGTCCGAAAGCAAAAGATTTTATCTCGGAGATGAAGATTGCACCTAGAACCATGTCGCGTATTTTAAAAGATGGCTTAGGACTTGCAGCCTATAAGAGACGTACTGGTCTTTTCTTAACTGATAATTTAAAAGAGAATAGGGTGGTAAAATCGAAACAACTACTGAAGCGGTACGCAAAGGGAGGTCATAGAAAAATTTTGTTTACGGATGAGAATTTTTTTACAATTGAGCAACATTTTAACAAACAAAATGACCGTATTTATGTTCAAAGCTCTAAGGAAGGTTCCCAATTAGTCGACAGAGTGCAACGTGGGCACTATCACTATGACTTCAGTGCTGGTTTGATGGGGTATTAGCTATGATGGAGTGACTGGGCCATACTTTTGTGAAAAAGGTATCAAAACATCGGCACAAGTGTATCAAGATACCATTCTTAAGAAGGTAGTGAAGCCCTTTAACAACACCATGTTCAATAATCAAGAATGGTCCTTCCAGCAAGACTCGTTTATTACACGATGTTATTCCTTCACCGTGGAAGTCAATCGTGAACATTTATTAAGTACGTATTTCATTAGAAAAATTGGTACCCGCCTGCGGGATAGGAACACCGTTGCATCGCTACATAAGAATGCACCGGACGTCTTATCCTTTAGGCCACGACGGTTTCCTGCGACCTTGCTTAAACAACGTATTTGAACCTAATTCCATGAACACTAGATGCGAGAATCCGTTTGCAATCAAAGTACCGAGTACAAAATGTATCAAACGATAACTTTGAAACAGAATAAATTCATGTCTCGTAACGAGGAGAGGATAAAATATATTTTTTTAAATCGTACGGTGTAAAAAAGTAGATTTTTACTTGAGACCTTGAAATAGCAAAAAAGAAAGCGAAAAAAATGTCTACAGCAGCTGAATTCCTTAGCGTTGGCTTAACTAATTTACATTCAAGAACGTTTGCTTTAATTGTAAAAGGGGTTAGGAGCTGGTTATTAACTGAATTAGGGTAATTACTCACGACATTTGACCTGGCCAAATCACTGTGAAATTGTCGTTGGTACAATAATTGGTTTATTTCGTTTTTATTACAACTGAAATTTTGCTTTCTTGCATAGTTAATTTAATGTAAATTACGGATCATTAGAACGTTCATGACTAATTGTTTTAACAAAGCCATGTGTGCCTGATTCTTTCGTTTGGTTAGTTACCTGAAGAGTGAGTAATGAGTGAGTAGTGAGTGATAATGAACGAAAGTAAGTATTGTACTATTTGACGAAGCATATTGCTGATAACTCTGTTTCTATAATCTGACGAAGCGGATAATAATATGTACTTTTAGGTTATTAAACTACCTTGCATTTTGATTTAATAAATAAAATTTATTTCGTTATTAAATATATTGTATGAATGAATGGGAGTATTGTCAGCCTACATATTATAACAACCAAGGCAGATACCATCATCCTGTCTATTTCTCTCGGGATGAAGTTATGCATCCAGTTTTTAGGATGAGGCAGTATACATAATGATTTGACCTATTAGAATTTTGATTCTCAAGTTAGGTTAGAATTCATGTCATATTCCTACCTCTATGGGCTCTTTTTTTTTTTTATTGCCCTTGTTGGCAGGCGAGTATACGGCCCACCTGATGGTGAGTGGTTACCGTCGCCCATGGACTTCAGCAATGTCAGGGGCAGAGCCAAGCCGCTGCCTTCCGTTTAAAGTTACCACTAAGCACTATAAATATACATGAGCCTAAAGATACAAAAGCTTTTCCTGTAATAGCAATACAAGTTTACAGAACTAAAAGTATTATAAAGTTCTCCTTTCCCGTAATGCAGCAACGTTGGGGGGAACATGTACAGTTCAACTATTTGCACGAATTCGAGCGTTTCATTTTACTGAATTCTATTTTAAAATTCTGAAGAAGGAATTCTCGACGCTCCTTTCTTATAATCGATACAGAGAAATATCGTGATTCGAGTCTCATTCGTTGTCAATAAATGGGACCGGAATAAAACGTGAAATGCGAATTAATAGCTTAAAGACGAAGACATTTCATTTCACAGGAAATAAATACTTATACATAAATTGTTACGTTGTATAATATTTTATATTGTTGTATATTATATATTATGTATTGTATTTCTATATATGGGCTAAAATATGGTCTGAAATAAATGATTATTATTATTAATATTATTACAACAGGTAATATAGATTGTAATTTTTTTTATTGCTTAGATGGGTGGACGAGCTCACAGCCTACCTGGTGTTAAGTGGTTACTGGAGACCATAGACACCTATGACGTAGATGCATCACCTACCTTGAGATATAAGTTATAAGGTCTCAAGTATAGTTACAACGGCTGCCCACCCTTCAAAGCGAAACGCATTACTGCTTCACGGCAGAAACAGGTAGAGTGGTGGTACCTACCCGCGCAAACTCACAAGAGGTCCTACCACCAGTATATAAGTAAGTTAAGAAACTTACAATTCAAAATGAAATAAAAAAAGGCTTATTTCTTAAAGGCTTATTTCTTCTCAAGGCTTAAAGGCTTTCAGTAAAATTCGAAAATCACGAATAGTGAACGCACTTAGATGAATTATGCAAGCACATCATCTGGGCTGAGCGAACACGCTACGGGACTGGCTAACTTTCTGAATACGTTCACTGAACTTAGAATGGTTGACGTTAAAGTTTTTGAATAGACTCCCTAAGCGCGTGTCCGAGAGATGCTTCACTAAAGTTAAACAGAATTTTCATTTTGTTTTATATTAACTTTTACATTTAATAAAAGAAAAAATTATACTAAATTGGGATATTTAGTGTTTTTTTTTTACCAAAATTGATAGGCAATTTAAATTTTGTTTAACTATATATTATAGAGTTTTCTACAACCGTACTACATTTAATGAAAATATAAATAACGTAAACCGTCTCTCTCTATTCTACCAAAATGAAAAACAACATTTATGTTCTTGTCTGTAAATATTTAAGTTCTAACTATTTAAAATATTATAAATGCCAATACGCTCCGATTCCTATATTCCGATATGTTAAATGAAATTTCATTAAAAACACGAACGCTAACATGCCACACGGGACATAATTCGATTTTAATTACTCTGTTTTAATTGGAAAATGTGGTTCATTTGTACTTTAATATAATTAAAACCATTAAGCTGTATTTTAATATGTTTGTGCATGTTCATATATTTTATTAGGCTGGGTAGTTAGCGTAAGATTTGACATGAACAATAAACGGTAAAAGGTAATAAAAAATAAAAACGATTCGAGAATTAAAAAGCCAATGTCCATACCATACTCAGGACTTTATTATCTCGTAAAACTTTAAATGGACCACGATCTGCATCAAAAAGCCCCGGAAAATCTCCCGGTGAGCAAATGGTGGCAAGAAATTACACATCCAACAGTTTCGCTTAGTTGGCCGTCGCAAACTTTTCACATTTATCCCGCAAAGTTGGTACATTGCGTCCGCTTTTGGGCCCAGACTGGACTTTGCCTAACTCCTTTTCTGATTCGATTGTTTGCCCGACGAAATCCAACTCGAATACTGGCGCAGTAAAACGGGCCAATTCGAATTAGTAATAAAAGGACGATTCGAGCGAAAAACAAGAGAAAGTTGTGTCCGTTGTAATTGTTTCTCGCCAATTTTGCGCTTTCGTGATTTTATTCAATGAAATGTACCTATGTTTGAATAGTAGGTTTTAGATTTTTTAATACAATATTATAAAGTATAATATTTCACTGGTGGTAGGACCTCTTGTGAGTCCGCACGGGTAGGTACCACCACCCCGCCTATTTCTGCCGTGAAGCAGTAATGCGTTTCGGTTTGAAGGGTGGGGTAGCCGTTGTAACTATACTGAGACCTTAGGACTTATATCTCAAGGTGGGTGGCGCATTTACGTTGTAGATGTCTATGGGCTCCAGTAACCACTTAGCACCAGGTGGGCTGAGAGATGGTACACCCACCTAAGCAATAAAAAAAAAAAGCTTAAAACAAAACATTAATTTTAATCAATAACGAAAATCAATTGAGAGAACAGTTGTTAATTTCACGGATAGTTAGTCGAAGATCATTCGCAGTTCAATTTGTCGAATGCAACATGTGATTATGGTCAAAACTGGCGTGAATCCAAGGCATGGTGCCAATTTTAGACAACCTGTTGATGTTTCACGCTAAATTACTTACGAAAAAGCTTTTCATTAAATTATCACTTACAGTATTTGTTATGGTCCCAATTATAATAATAATATGAGGTACCTCTAAGTTTACAAGAAGGTAGCTTGGTAAGTAATTAAATAAAAAGGCAACTTATGAAGTAAGTGTTTTTGTTTTAATCGACAGCTTAATGAAACATCTCTATCTATGGCTTAAAGGAAAAAGTTGTCCTGGTTTGTAAAACTCTCAAAAATTATATTCATTTTTAATCCAGTTTTCAATTAAACTAATTCTTCAATTAAGCCTAATGACTAACTACGCTTTGAATAGCTTAAACTAATTCGCCATAATGATTTGGTCGTCAAAATACTTGCTGTGAGAGCCCTAGAAGATACTAACGTTATCCGAGAACCTAGCCAAAAGCTGGAGGCGCAATAGTCAAAATGACTAGCCGGCAGAAAAACAGAGCCATGGAAGGTTAGTTTAAAGTAATTGAGATATTTGTAAAGCAAATCTTTTGATATGCACAAACCTTTAAAAATTCCTTTTTTTTTTATTCTTTATTTGTACACACAGTTAATGTAATACAGTAATTTCGATAAGATATAAAAAAAATGGCGAGCTTAACACAACAATTGAGTTATCTACCAGCTGACCGTTCTCAAAGAAGGAAAGCTTTACGTGAGTGGGTAGATGAGTACAATCTAATTAATTTAATTATTGATACTATAGACAATAACAATGCCAATTTATGCCACTTACTTGTACGTGATAGGGAGCGACCTTTTCTTCACCCTTGATTTCTACATTGATGTGAAGTCTTATAGCTCCGGATACAGCCGATTTATCCGTGCGCTTCTCCAGATTGTACCAAACGTCCATCTCACCGGATAATGTCCGTACCTTTATAGAATTATATTGCGTTAGATTTAAAAACATTTTTCTTCTTGTGGGTGTTGGAGAAAGAAAAAAACAACTTCAGGAGTCGACGTACGTCTTATATGCCCATGTTTAATAAAAACAATGCTGTCAAACATTTCGCCGTGGTACGTACAAGATTTGCTATTAAAATACTTGGAGTATAATTTTGGTGCATTTCAAATTGTATGGGATTTATCTACAGATTTTATAACGTAAATTTTATGGAAGCGCTTTTTTTCCTACCTATGCTGATAGCCTTGAGAGGCTATTTCAGCGTAACCTTAACTAGTAAGTGATCTCACGGGGCTCAAGCCTGATGACGTTGCTAACACGAACACTAAGAAGTGCCGTGCTTCGCAGAATCTACCACTGTATCGGAAACGCGACCCACTGAGAAGATTCGACGAGAAACTCAGTGAGCTGTGTCTTTGGGTTAATTTACTCGTCGAGCCCTTCGTCGCAAGCGACGGGTTCGACGAGAACGATGACCGGGGAAACGCTATATAAATCGCTATAGGTATATTTGTATCCATGATTTGTATCTACGACCACACAAATATAAAAGAAAATATCTGTTCAAATTCAAATAATTTCATAATTGGCTAAATAAGTATAGGGATTCACGTACTTGATTCTACGGCTGAATAAATAAAAAGTCGGAGAAAAGCAAAACTCAATAAAAATTATTAGTTTTCGAACAAATGGGAGACTAAGTAGCCATTATCCAATTTTGTTTCTTTTTGTTTGAATTTTCAGTGAGTTAATAAATCTTCAATAGTGATGTTGTTTGGTACAAAATATTCATTTTATTGCTATACATCTGCGTTGGGCTAATTTAAAATATTCTTTAACCAATTTGCAAGGAAATCTTTTTTGAAATATATTGTCAGTTTTCGTGAAAGAAGAAACGCATTTTCAAAGAAATCATATTATATATATACATATATTTCATATTTTACCTCAATAATGGTTTGTCCTAAGAAGTCGTCAGATTCCCTGGTTAACTTTTGGCGTAGTTTCGATTTTAAATCATTGTCTTCATCCCACACTCGCACTTTGATTCGATCGGAGGAGTTGTGGCACTCACTGTTATGGGAAAATTGCTAATCTATATTTAACAGTTTTAAAAATTCTAAGGTGATAATTTTTTGTTTGTGATTTTTTAAAAAAAAGGCCAGTATATGAATTAATTAATAAGATAATTTGGATAAGATAATAAATTTGGAAACTATATTGTTCAAAATCTTACTACAATAAAATACCTATTAGCTTACTAACAGCAACTTACAAGTAAAACTTCTCGTTCCAAACGGGGTTCAGTTCTTGAGGCATAGTTCTAGTCCTTTTCTTCACTTTGCTTACTTGAACTGTTACGTAAGGATCCGAGGTCCCACTCTTGTCCTTCGCTATCAAACCCTGAGCACATATAACTGCCCCATAAGGGCCAAATTAGAAACTATTCCGATCTCCAAATAGCGATAAAATGGTAACGATTAAAATCGATTGGTCGAATGTTACGAATCCTTCGCATGGATGAACTCGCATTATAGCTAAGAGGTATAACATTATACCGAGCTTTAGAATCTTTTTGGTCGAGTAAATCTGACCAAGCATAATTCTGCTCAATCTTTTGGAAATACAAAGCGCTATTCACGTTTACAACGACAAGTTGCCTGAATTTGAAGCTTTTCAATTACATGATGATTAAAATGATGTTTATTCCAAAGTTCCTAACATTTGACTACCTAAATTTAACGAGTACTTTTTATTTAGTATCTAATAAATAGGCCTTACCTTGCATCAGCTCGCACCTTACTTACCAAACAAAATCAGTGCTACTTGAAGTACTAAAACCTTTCGGAAATCTATAAATGGGGTAGTGTGTGATCAGTATGGGTCAGGATCAAAGACTCTAGCCAACTACCAAACTTTGTATCTATGCCCAAATTCGATATCTAAATTAACTTGACCATAGCGCCTACATTATCGCAACTTCTATTACAAACTTCGACCAAGAAGAAAGTTTCAAAGAAGAAGTATAAAGATATGCGCGGGAATGAAGTCTATGGAATCGGGTCTATTGGAATTTTCTCAAATCGAAAACTCATTGGTAGTTACAGCTAGATAGGTCGGAATTCAGGGATAATTGAGGATCCGTCATTCGGCATGCTTCCTTCTAAGAATTAATTCAGTTAAAACAATCTACATAAAACAAATGGAAGTTTTGTTTAATAAGTTGTTGGACTGTAACCAAATGAATTATTAATATCAGCTATTGAAAACAGTGAACAAATTCTGACGTCACTTTGTTAAATGCAATCATTGTTTGCATCATTAAATTTGTGATTTTCATGCAATCTGTGTAATATTAGCAGACGCGCTGCCGTATTGTGGTTTTGCAATAATTAATTAAAATTAACTGTGTCATTTCAGTGTAAAGGGAAAATAAGTTCAGTGTACGTGGAAATTAGGGAAATAATTCCGAGTGATAATGCGTTGGATAAATGGAATTTCCCTTGTGTCGATTATACACTATCAAACCAAGCTACGTAATCGCGATACGTGTGATTTAGAGGCGGTGCATTAACGACCGTGATTTCGGATTGATATTCGAAATTAAATATGCAGAGAAATTTTTTGATATCTGCTTTCAGACAAACAGACAAAAACTCTTTAGTTTTTATCGGTAAACGTTAATTATTTAAGCTGAAACTTTCTGTTTGGCGTTTTAATGTCATGACTTTTATATGTATATATATATAGTTTAGCGTAAGCAAAGCTCAACACAATAACAATTACTTTTATAATATTGTACACATCGGTTTCGGTAAGCAGATTTCAAAAAACATGATAGAGTTGAGGCCAAGATAGTTTGTCTAATAGATTCAAAACTGCGAGCGCGCGGACCATAGCCGCCAAAGACCACAGCAAACCTGTGATGGCGATCTTGCAAGACCATTTTGAAGTCCCTTCAATGGTGACTTGCTTGGCTTGTTCGAGACTGTCAATGTGAGTGTCTGGATCGACGTTAAAAGTCCGCCTTCGCCACATGAAACGAAAGATTGAATGCGATTTAGTGTTATGTGTGTGTTGTGTGTTTGTGTGTTGTTCCTCGATCGTTGCTCTCGGCTCGTCCTCCTGCGATCCTAAAATAAGAGGTACTTAGTTGAGGGTGCCTCGAACCTGTTATGGCAATCTTCGCGCTCCACTTCGAGGTACCATCGAGGACTGATTGCTTCACCGTACTCATGTGTGCTGCATGCCCCTCCTGTTCGATGCTGAACACGCGTCTGTCACATACACACTCGTCTCAGCTGTTACCTTCGTTTCTAATCCCTTACTTCATATTGAAGGAAGACAATTTTGCAAATCTACTGTATAAGAAACGAAAGATTTGCTTCTAAGGCATTTATTTGTTAAAATAACGTGCTATTGTTCGTGAATGAAAAGTTCTGAGGTTTGCTCTAAATTGTGCGTTTATGTTGTGTTTACATCGCAATAAGCAAAACGTATTTACCTGTCCGTCCAAATCTATAATAGCTTTTATAAAGATGATTATTTAATAAAAACCAACATTAATTAGAACTATTATTGGAAATATAAATACCTGATGAGTTCGAATATTTCGGGCTTGTCTCGCTCTCGCTGTTTCATTCTTTCCTTCATTGCTGTTATAATCGAATTAGCTTTATCTTCCGCGCCGTGCTTAGAAGACTTCTCGGCAGCCCCTGCGAAACACACTGCTCAGGCGGTGCCAAATAGTCCTTGAAATCGCGGGACGCGCCACAATGGCCCCCCCGCCCTGCGCTCAGCATCGCACCGACAACTCTAAGCTACAACCCGAATAGAACCAAATTGAATTTCAATGAACTGTAAATTATTAATATCAGATCTGATCAGGTCGTTGACCTCGAGCGGCGCAAGTCGGAGCGAGTCTGAGCACGGCGCCTTGTCAGTAAACAGACATTTCAACACATCTTATATAGCTTGTCAGCTCTATTTAAATTAACAAAAACGATTAATCTTTAGAGCCGACCAGCTATAATAACTTATTGTATTGAAATGTTGAAGTCCAATAAAACATAGCTTGTAGTTTTATTTTGTTTTGACTGTATCAGTCCCATTAACAATACGAACTCGTCATTGCGTGACTCCACTTAAAATATCAACTTTTCTAAATTTTAAAAGTTCATTCGTTTGGGAGAAACAAAGTAACATAAAGACAGTGAAATAAATATACAGGAAAGTGAAATTTCTATAAATCAGAGTTATACAACAGAACAAATAAAAAAAAACTAAAGGACCACATATAATATTGAAGTGGACAAACACTGGATTGCGTGCACACATTACTAACAGGCACATCTTACAACTTGTGTTGTCGGGATTGCTTTCGGCGCTTGTGTAAAAGCTTCTATGCTGTACTGTTTATAAAACGGGTGTGTTCGAAAGTGTACATTGTAAATAGTATAGAAAAGTAGATAAAATAAGACGTATTATTAAAACAGTTTGAGGGTTATATCGGCGCTGGGCGGGGCAACCCGAAAATAAACGAACTAAATCGAATCCCTATGCTACGTGACTTGCTTAGGTCTATGCTTTGAACATAAAACAGAACATTTTGTATGCATGCATTATTAAAAAAAATATTTTCATTCAAAATATAAAAGATTAAAATAAAAAATAGACGTTTTGTCATTCGCAAATACGAAAAGAAGTTTAGGATTTAGGTTAATTGTATAATAGGGCGGGGAAACAACACAGCAAATGATACTCGTTAAAAATTCAAAGTATAGACCGTAATAGAATGACGCGCAGTCGATTATCTTCTAAAACAATATTCATTAAATCGAATCCGCGGAAATTTTAAAGCAACGACTGCCCGCCCTTACACACGTGCAAAATTAATTATGAAATAAATAAATAAAAAACTATAAATTTATTACGATATAATGAAAAGAGAATTAAAAAAAATGTGTGTCGAATATTAATAGCCATGCACACCGATGAAGCGATGGATTATTAGAAGGGTATACAAACATGCTTATATTATATGAGGTCACAAAAACATGAAGGAGAAAATGAAAACAAAATATCACAAGTAAGAAAACAACGTTAATAGAATAAATAACGTATGTAATGTAAGAATAAGAATGATTTTTGTTTCAACGAATTTCACGTGATTCCTGATGCCGCTAGTGTTCGCCGGTGATCCTGCGTGTGTTGATTTCGTGAATAACTTTTGACCATTTGTAACCAATTCATGCAAAATTTTATACATGCGTTCAAATTGAGCTATATACGAGGTTTTTTCTACAACATTTTTGTACGTGTTAACGTTTTGTATACATAAATTTACCTTTCAATCAACATCACCTAGACAGCGAAACTAACAAAGATGTTAAATAGCTAACACCGAATTATAAGTGAAAAATTCGTCACCGCACCGTCGTTCTGTGTGAAATATTATAATTAAAACGTAAAAGTTCACAAATAATTTAAAAAAAAATTACGGTAGTTAATACAATAGTCCAATTTAGGTGAATAGCAACTGAGTCATCCGTGGCCGCGGAAACTGTAAAATATCTCAATCATCGAAAAAAATATAATATTATAACAATATTTATAATTTAATAACAATAAACAAGATGATAACAATTAAAAACTGCGAAATTAAGAAAATATAACTATTCAAAATATTCCCCGAATGCTAGTCGAAATATTTCCGCTTTTCGACAAAATAATAATCATTGTATAACTGTTGCGGAATCCAAAAGAGAATTCTTATCGCTTTCATGTCAAGAGAGAAATCCTTTACACGATTTTTAATTTTTGTCTTCCGGGAATGTATATTCAAAGATCTTGTCGACTATGTGTGACTCGTCGTGCGCATCTCGACTCGTGTTGATCATAATGAGAGTTCAGTTTCTCGCTGCCAACTTAGAAAACCGAAAGTTAGACACACTGACATGAAGTGACGAACTTTGATATTTAAAAAAAAAAAAGTCTAAATATGTTTAACGAAAAATATCTTGTAGAACTATAAACGCAAATGTACTGTAATGTCATAAGACAATTTTAGTTAAATAAAAGAATTCCGTTGCTTATCACAGTTCTGTATATATTTTTTTTAGTAAATTTTACTGGCTTGGAAACAAAGTCCTTTAAGCCAATCACGATTCTGTGACAATAATCGTGATTTATAACAGCAATTTGTTACTTTGGCGTTTACAGTTAATAGAACACCAATTTGTGGGGGGAGCCTTAATGGGTATTTGTTCGGAGCTATTGCCGTGTCGACATCTGCGCAGTCTGTGAAATATAATTGTAAAATTTATTCACAATTTTTGAATGAAGCACGTGTAGTACTATTCATTCATTTAATTGAATTAATTACCTATTAAATACCCATTACACTCTTGGGAATAATTTTATGTGACCTAAAGATTCTTACTCTGAAGGCAATCAGCGTTGAGCAAGTCCTTGCATTTCTCATGGCATTTGACCCCGCACTCTGTACACCTGACCCCTTGTCGTGCGATACCCCATAGAAGCCCTTCACACTCGTAGCAATAAGTGGGGGAAGTGGCGGTCCACAGCACAAAGTTGTGAGGGGTTGTTGAAGATATAGGGTAGATGAGGGCTTGAAGTGTCTTCTTGTAAACGTGCATTTTCTGGAATTAAATCTCCTTGAATATTTGAGAAAATTATGTATTAAGAACTTATGTATGCCATATTAAGTTGTCTGTAGAGTTGCTTATTATGTGATAATAAATAAATTACTAAATAATTTTAAATTAAATCGATGATGCACAACTTCTCAACCAAAATTATTAATAAATAAATTTTGTACGTGATAAAAATATAATTTCACTCACAAGCTCTTCATCATTAAGTGTTGCACGATGTACCGCTGATGTTAATCCAGCATTCCTTTTCGTGGCAGCCATAGTCTAAACATCAGATCACATATTACGATCACAAATATACGGCTTCAAATAATTTGCTAATTTAAGCTTTTCTATTCGTCGATAAATTTGTCTATATTGCTGATAATTCTACTACCATGCCTTCCAAAGCTGATTGAGGTATTTTATAACGAAATAAAGTTTCAATGGAGTTGATTGTAAGCTGAAATATGAAGCAAGTGTGTGTTCAAACAGAATTGTGTCTGAAAAATAATATAGTGCATAGAATTATTATAAATTAACGAATGTGTAAATTCATAGACATTAATTATAGTGTTTCGTTTTTTCAATAAACATGATCTTAGTTAATAAAATGAATTAATGCAGATTATTCGACATGTTGGATAAATATAACTTTTGTATTTTGTTATATAAAACGTAAGAGTACAAAACAAGGTTAAGGTTCCGATTCATTCATGAGGTGGAAACTGTAATAAATAGGAATAGTAATTGAGAATCGAAGCGTGAATATTCAGTCTCAGAAAACACGTGCATCTTCCAGATTCAAATTCAGCAAAATCGTTCAAACGTCATGAGATCCCTTGAATTTTATGTACAAAAAGAATAAAAAGTTTTCGTACCGTTAAACATTTTTTAATCGAAAAAGCAAAACATGCAAAGGCATCGGCTGTATCATTCCTTGAATCATTTGCAAGCAAACTATTTACATCGAAAATATGAAATATAAACATTCTTTTTCATTACAGCAAAGAAACGCATGCAGATAGAGTCTGTTACTGGGATAGAAATACCTTGAGAACCTGCGGGTCCGTGGTGAGGGGTAAAATGCAACGAGATCATTAATTTTACATCAGGAACACGTCATAGGTATTTGGTACTCTATATACTAAGGTTTTCGTCGGTGCCTAACACGAGATCTTTGAACTTTTACTTCACTCGGCAATTAAGTACGGTAGAAAGCTTCAGAGCTTTATCAGTTGCGGATAGAAGTCAAAAGTACTGAAGATCTCGTCGAAACTAAACTTTGCTAAGGTCAGGATATAAAGAAAACGTTGAAGGCCATCTAAGTAATAGAGTTGATAGAGAAACACATGTAGATAACATTGAGAAAGGTAGATAGATAGGATTTAGTTGAAGGTTTTTTGAAGATTTTTCATTTGAACAACCAGTGGGGAGCAACGCTACTTTTAGCTTATAAAATTAATCATTTTTAAAATTTATAAATATCTATAATTTTTTGTACATACTAAAAAAGCTATAACGTAAAAAGGTCATCATTACCTCCCCAAAAATTGTTCGAAAAATATAATAAATCGCGTATTAGAAGAAAACATTTATTACGCGCCTAATATTACCAAGCTTCAGGAAGCGAAACGTCGATGCGAGCTTTTAACATTTACGACCACTTTCAGACATCTACCTTCCACATCGGAGAACGTAGATAAAGCTTTATTATTTCCAGGAAACCTTTAAAAAATCGTGGTAAATAAAATTTGGTCCGAAACACCCAGACTAGATAGAGTGCGCATTTCTATAGGCGCACAGAAGGCTGTCAAAGGAAAAAAAAAGTAATAAGAAAGTTACTTACAAGTTCTGACACAAGAGGGATCGATTTTCTTCGAGGCCTGATGTCGGGCATGCTGTCAATGTTACTGTAGAATGGATTATCTCCAGGGTGCCTATAAAAGTTTAATGTCAATAGAACAGTGCATTAAGGAGTGCATAACTATAGTTTAGCAAGTAAATTTTCTCAGCCTGTTGCGGTTGNGAGATAATTTCGATATAGACATTTCGCTGTCGGACTTCCTTACTAGTCGCGGCGGCGAACGTGAGTACCCGTGGCCTGCAAACGGTGCTGCGCGAATGGTCGCCTCGCCCACCGCTTCGCTGTTCGCACCGCCGATCCCCGTGGCCAGGCCGTAAAGGATAAGACGTTCGGTGCATTCATATCTTGCGATGCATCGGTGTTCGAATCCCGCTAGAGGATACTAATTTTTCTAATGAAAAACGTACTTAACGATTGTCCACGATTGACTTCCACGGTGAAGGAATAACATCGTGTAATAAAAATCAAATCCGCAAAATTATAATTTGCGCAATTACTGGAGGTAGGAACTCTTTCGCTTCTGCCGTGAAGCAGTGATGCGTTTCCGTTTGAAGGGTGGGGCAGCCGTTGAAACTATACTGAGACCTTAGAAATCATATCTCAAGGTGGGTGGCGGCATTTACGTTGTAGATGTCTGTGGGCTCCGGTAAACACTTAACATCAGGTGGGCCGTGAGCTCGTCCACCCATATAAGCAATAAATAAAAAAAGCAAAATGGTTTTAGAAGTTAAAACAAAGAGCCACACACATTCGTCAGGATTTGGTAACGATTGGATACAATTATTGAAATAAATTTATTTTGGGTCTTCTAACCAGAGCCGGACTTACCTTACGTGCCACCCTAGGCACTAGGAACATTGCTACTAACTCTTATTAGGCTAGCTATTAGGTTGTTTTCAGCTTTCCGTGATTGCATTTCTACTGTCAATAGTATTAGCACAATATTTTTGTCATACATTGACAACGATGTTTTTCCCTTGAAACTATGTATATAATTATTAATTCACATACCCATTTCCTCGGCCTGTTTGGTCACTAAATCCGGTGGATCCATTCTAAAAAAAAAAACAACAACAACAAATTAAAAAAGAAAAATAAAAACTAACTAAAATAAAAACTTTATTAAAAAACAAAATAGCTATTATTTTAATATTGAATTTCCATAAGAATTTGTTGAATGTTCGTAAGGTTATTTGTACATTTCAAAATTTTAAAAATTACGGTGTGCTTACCAACATGTCAATTTATTGCAAATATCAATGGGAATTGTGAATATATAGAATAATTAATTAAAAAGTCCAACACACAATATTTTTAAGGAAATTCAATCACAATTGTATTAAACAAGATTAATTAACACAAGTTTTACAAACATACATACAATGTAAGAAATACATGGATTGTTTTAATTAAAATTAACATTAATAAATCGTTGGATCAGGGTCTGTATTAAACAATGTAAAAATATTACGCTGTCCCATTAATTAATTGTTTGAAAGTAACACCGTAAAACCATTATCTTGCTAACTCGGTTCCAAGCGTTGGCTAGTTACAAACAATCAGCATCGGCAATAGCTTGGATTATATATAAACCAGTTATTATTAATATCTAGGAAGGTAAATCAATTATGTAAGTTCAAAGAGCCTAAATATGCATTTTAAAAAAAGGTTTCGATTCTGTGTTACTCAGTACAGTAAAATAGACGACGGTTTATACTGCACATAAGTTTATGACGTATATATGTTATATTTTATACTTTACAACCGAAAATCTTGATTCCTCATTACTCATTACGTTTCTCTTCAAATTACATGAGTTTAGTAGCTGCTTCAATTACACTTTTTACATGACGAATGTATCGATAAATCATTTTGAACGATTAATAGTCTAACGTCTTTTTCTAATTCTATGATAAAGCCAATAAATTTTACAAATAGTAGTGGTAAGTCAGTGCTATTCATAAGCATAAAACTTTGTTTAACTTTAGCCGAAATAAGGAAATATTGTAACAAACACTCAATTCACTGACTTTTTTGGTTTTATAGTCAAGAGCAATAATAATTTATGTTCTGGTATTTACTATAAAAGTCGATAAAAAGTTTAAATGATTTAAATAAGAAGAAAAAAAAAGAGTTTATCTTGTTTCATAAATCTTTTAAAAATGTCATTATATGTATGTGTTTATTTAACAAAGTATAATTTAATTCTAAGCAATAATATTTCAACTCCTAAAGATTTTTTACTAAACATTTTTCCTAGTACACAAAGTGCCAGCTATGTTATACAAATACGTGTGTGTGTGTAAATAGTTATTAATGGATATATACTAAGCTTAAAAAATTCTTACACATTAGAGAATGACTTCACGAGTTTATATGAACAAAATTGATTAGGATATAAACTAATCGTTAGTTTAATTATTATTTTAAAAATATCTACTGTTATGTGTTTTACTAATGATTAAATGAATGGAAATGAATGTCAGTTAATTTTATTAACTCCAATGATTTGGAATTGCTTCTATTAGGATTCAAGAAAATAACTGCAACATGAAGAAATAATTATGTATGTATTTTAAATGGGTTTTATATTTAAAAATAATTGCTATGTTCCAAAAATATTTCGAATTCAAATGTTCAAATGTTCTATAGACGATTATTATTTCTTCTTATCAGGTTTTCAATAATAACATATGTAATTCATATATTTATTTGTAAATAAATCTTGACTATGTGATATGAGATGATATGAAATAGAGTGACTTTATACATATTTCGATTCGTGTGCTTTGTGTTTTTTTCTATCAACGTTCACCAGTGAGTACACAAATTTTAATAGACGAGACGATAAAGCAAGTGCCAAATATATTGGGCGTTTAGTAATGACCGCTCAGTCTCCGCCGGGACTTGAGCTCATATGGCCATGTAAGCCAAAAATATATTACATCACTAAATACACTTATCTATTTTTATTTTAATACTGAATAATGTATGAATTCTGTTTAATTAATTGGAATAGAAATATTTATAAAGCGAATAAATTGCTTTTAAAATTGTATATTTTCTGCAGTTCGAGTACATTCGTAAGCGTTCTAAAATACCATGTAAATAACGTAGTGTATGCTTTATATCTATATTGGTATTATACTTATGACTTCTAATTATTGCCAATGATAAATACAATCAGCTTTTATAGATTAATTATTATAAAAATGTTTTATTGTATGCGTTTAAATGTTTCTCATTGTAATCTACGTAGTCAAAAACCAAAATGAATGTTGAATAGTTAAAATAGTATTGGTTGAATAATAATTTGATATCACAACCACAGTTTAACTTTTTATTGGATACTAAAATAATTCCGTTCCTTCATTTTCATTTCTGGAAATTAATTATCAGTGGTGTTAACATCTGACACGGGCCACTTATTTCGTAAGAAAAAAGTTTTATAATCTAGCTTACTTATGACTACGAGTATCATCATACTATAGTAGAGTTTAAAGCAGATCAAATGTTATATTTTGCGTATAGCTCTGGTTATTATCAGTCTAACATAATTTTGCTATGTTCCACAATAGCCCTAATAGCCCTTTCTAAAAATTTAAATTCAAATTTAACTTTTAACTCTAATTTCATGAAACTTTTGCATGAGATAACTTACACTTGCGCTGACTTTGTCTTTTTCAGCAGACGGCGTTGACGCTGTAGGAGTTTCCGTTGTCTTCTCTTCGGCTTTACGATCTTTCAGAGCTTTCAAAAGTTTCCATTTGCTTCCAACAGTAGTGTCTTGCTGGACTGGTACTTGCCTTCGCGCTGGAATTGGTGACGGAGGCATATCATATTCGTCATCCATTTCATCGCCACTTACAACAGGACTATCAGGTCCTGATGTTTCACCTGATCCAGTGTCGGCGTAAGATTTGTCATCATCAGACTCTTGGTCGTGGTCTTTAGTACTATCAACACTTTCTTCGATAGAAGGAAAAGTTGTTATATCTTTCCATGTTTCTTTCATTGGAGATTCATCATACTTTGTCTTCGTTTGAGCTGTTTTCAATTTCAATTCCCTGAGTACGAAAGACATTTTTTCTTTCAAAACTTCAGGAGGCTCTTCCATAATATCTTCAAATTCGGGCTCTTCCGGTAGCGTGTCATGTCTATCAGCCTCTAACTGAGATTGGTGCTCCATTTCTTCCAACTTCCTCAATTCATAACAATACCATTCGTCTTCAGAGTCAATACTGTCTTCTGTACTTTGTCTTCTAGACGAAACTCTAGATCCACTTCTCCAAGAATGCGTGCTTCGACTGTCATCATCATCATGCTTGTTTGGAATTTCCAAACTTTGTTGATGTCTAGGCTGAAATTTATTCTGAATGCCTCGACTACTTTGCATTGACGGGCTTCTTTCTGTATAAATCGTATTTTCTTCTGATACTGAACTATTTACGATCTCGGGTGTTGTGGGCTTGCGAATTTTTTTTTCTTTTGATGTCATGTTATCATCGTTACTTTGTTCGTGCAATTCTTTGTCTAATTTAGGAGGTGATATATCGGCCATTTGTTCATCTGATATAGATGTCGACTTTCTCAAACGATATTTACCCAGTGCTCGTGATACTGCAAATTCTTGTGAGCTTGCACTGTATGGTTTGTTTCCTTCACTTTTTTCATCGTCTGATGTAATACTCGCTTTTTTGACATCGCCTATAGTTGCAAATATAGAGGCTGGCGACTGGTTAGGGTCAATGGTGTCCTCTTCGAATAAGTCAACGTTTGAAATATCTGTGTCAATATCCAATTTCTCTAATTCCTGTATATTATCTTTTTTCATCTGACTAACACGAGCAAAATGGAAATCTATATCATCACTTTTATCCCTTGGTAAAGTATTATTAGATGGAAATTTTTCTTCCTCCTCAATTATGCATTCTGTGTCATCATCCTTAAATTCTATACCTTTTTCCTGTAAATCCTGAATTAATTGTTGTTGCTCCACAATCTCCTGATTATTGACTTTTCTCTGTTTTGGTTTAGATGCTACTTTAGCAAAAACATTATTCTCATGAGCAGAATCCGAAAATACACTATCGCTGTCTTCAGATTGGGCACTGGAGCGACCCCCTGACCATTCGGTCTCAGAAGTTTCGGGGTCAGACAAAGACTGATGACTAGCTTGATGTTTTCGTCTCGCTTTCTGTAGTAAGCCGGACATCGATGCCACCAAATGATATTTCTTTTTTCTCCTCTGAGCTGACATTATTCTTTCTTTTAATGATTTCTCCTGGACTGGTTGTTCAACGTTGTCTACGCCAGAGGGCAATGAATGTGATCTATGTTTTTTAGGAAGATGCAGGTCTGGTAGCCATTGGCTCATGGAAGACATGGCAGACTTTAACGATGAAGTTCTTTTCGGTTTCTTTAATTGTTTTTCTTGGATTTTGCCTTTTAAATTAGAAGAAATTGATAGGTACCCAGATTCCGAAACCAGCATGCCACCCGATTCTACGTATTGATCTTTTCTAACTTTTTGATGCTCGTTCATACTTTGTATTTCGTATCCTTGATTTTCGTGCATCACATTTCCATTGCGTTGATCAAATTGTTGTTGCTTAAAATACTCTTGTTGCAATTGAGTTTGAAACTGCTTTCTTTCTGTTATGCTTAATGAATGTGATTTCAAGCTCGACGTTTCAAGTGAGCTTGTAGGTGACCTACTTCCTCCTTGCCAAGAAAGTTGATCTTCTAACGTTATTCTTTTGGGAGAATCATATCTTGTTGATGTTGGATAGTAGGAAAGAGCATCAGTAAGATTACTGGGTGGGTAACCAGTTCGAGTTCCTGATACTTTATAACCATTTTGGAAGTACTGGGATTCACTCACTCCCATAGTGTTTGCTCGAGTCAAAGTTCTTTTATTATTTGTATTGGCTACTGACATAACCACAGTTTGTGCATGATAATTAGGTTCTGGAGGATAAGGATCAATTGATGGTCTTTGCACTGATTCAGAAATTTCATTACTATCTAATAATTCGGAAAAATTCCTTTCGTCAGGAAGCATACCTCTTGGGGTACTGTAAACTGTTGTAAAAATTGGTTGTCTATTTCCAGCGACAGAATATATTGAGGCAACTTCTGAACTATAATAATATTCACCAATATTGGTGACTTGTGTCATTTGGTTGGCTACCGAAAAATGCATTTCACTTTTATAATAATCACTTTCAATCTTATCTTGGAATTTTTGTAAATCTCTTGAACTACATACGTTTTTCAACAATTGCTCGTTACTTCGTAAGTTATAATCAATTTTCACATTTTTGTTTTCGTACATATATGAGTCGACTAAAGTTTCTAAATACGGCTTAGGTTCAAGTTCATAGGGCATTCTTTGCACTGATTGAGGTGATGTCATTTTCATTTTGTAGACATCATGACTAACATGTGACAGTCTGCCTGTTTTTGGTGATCCGGGACTCTTTTCTAAGCTTGACCACCCGCTCATGGATGACAGGCCAGAATCAGATTTTGCAGCGACAATGTTAGTACTGTCTCTCTTGACGTGTTTTGGTGAAGTTTTAGGTGATTTAGGTGATCTGGGACTTAGCCTCATGTTATCAGATGTCATTACATTCATCGTTGATAACATAACATGATTAGCTGATAGATCATTATTATTTTCTAAACAAGGAAAAACATCAGTTGTATTTGGAGCTGGAGGAGGTGGACTAGGAGACTTACGTAATGCACTTTCATTGTACGTCAAATCTAATCTAGTATCAACTGGATCATCATATATTTCATTTACCGATAGAGGAGAATGTTGCTGGGAATTCGTTTTGTATAAATCTGACAAAGTTTTTTGACTTATTTTGTTCGAATAATAATTTGGTCTGGAACCATCACATACTTGATAAGTTGAACTGTATTCAAATCGTTCTCTTGACAGAGCACTAGGTGATTTTGATGCCTTTGCTGCATTTATTTCAGCATTTGCAACAGCAGAACTATATGCCAAACGACCAGTTACTGTAGTGTATGGCTCTGTTGTCGTTCTTTCGGGGACGAACTTTCGACGAGGCGATAGATTTTGTTGTAAATAATCCATTGATCTTTCAGCAACAACATTGTCGGTGAGTGACAGCCTAGATGGTGATTTATCTCTACCAGTACCATCTTTAGGAATATTTAGCATAAAGTCATCAAAACTTTTCATCATTTCATTCATTCCCCAACCTTCACCTCCCGAATAAACACCCTTTAATTGTTCGTTTATTATATTCCCGTCTTCTGCAAGAGCTTTTGCTTCAATTTCCCTATCAATTTTTGTAATTTTGGGCTCTGGTGTCAGTAGCCTGGTTTTTAAATCCCTAATCTCTCTAGATTCGTTTTGTAATTGAGATGTTAACCTATCTAACTCATGTAATTTATCTACTGTAATTTGATCTATAGTGCTTAAAGTTGATAAATGCACTAAATCTCTTTCGCTGATGCCGGGTCCTCCTTGCATACCGCGATAATCTTTATAGTCAGTCGAACTATAAATTTGTCTTGAACCTGTAGGAACAATTTCAATGTCTGTTTCTTCTGGAGCTTCCCATATCATATCCAATTGTGAAGTAGGTCTAGAAGCATCATCACATACCAAATCGTCTCTATACGCTTGGTTTAGACTCTTATAAAATGCTTCGTTGGATTCCATTATTTCTTCTTGACTATCCAAAAGTGCTGAAGTTCTTCCAATATCCAACCCTTCTTCTATACCATCCTCCACAGTTCCATTTCCTAAAATTTCTCGGATAACTTCGAGCCGTGTCATTGGATCTCTAGCAACAACATTTCGACACGTATAGAAATCGAGCAAAGTTGATATTACACCCTGTTGATCTGCGAGCAATGCTTCTAATCTTTCCAACCGTTCCCACATTCTCACATATTCTTGACTTAAGAGATCGAGGGCCCTCCATGCATATTTCAATTCCGTCTCGAGGATGTTAAGACGTGTGCCGAGGCGTTCCATATAATCGTTGATGATGTAATCGCCAGAATAAGGTGGTAAGTCTGGTGGAAGAGCAAGGGAACCACAGTCGTCCATATCGACCTCGGCACCCCCACTCCCTCCGCCCTCGCTTCCCTCCATCCCGCCGCCTGCGCCTGCCCCAGCATTGTCGTGAATTTCGCGCATCATCTTCGGACCGGATAGTGGGTAGCACATTACATTTTTCACTATGAGTCATCCCATATCGTTTTATCGTTTACACTATTCACGTAAATCTGTTCTTTGTATTCGACATATTCCAAAGTCATTTTAGCACACTGTAATAATGTTCACGCACATTATTTGTTACACTTTTTTTGTTTGTTTATTGCATAAATCGTTTTTAAAGTTTCAACACTATGTGTTTTATTTTTGTACTGAGACGGAATTAATTGTATTTATTGCATCAAATGTATATAACTATAATGTCAAAGAAAAAATACGTTAGTCATTGTATTATAGAAAAAAACACTCGTTTGTACATAAAACTCGATTATGTACACACTAGTGCTGCAGGAGTCAAAGGATTACCTCAACGGAATATATTGACTTGACAGAGTACGACCGAAGCTATTTACGAGAAGGAAATAGTTCAGAAAAATGTATTATAACTCGTATCTATAGTCAACATTTTCCTGTCGGAGGCAGCTAGGCAGTTCGTATTTGATTCCACGTGAGTTTAATCTACCTCAGAGGTGGAAGGCGTTGCTCGGCAAGGATAGGAAATTGGATAAAATGAAAGGAAATTAATGCCGAGTTTCACCACCGCTTCGCTTAAATCACCTTGTGACTATTAGATTAAAAACTCTTAGATGTAAACGGGAGACCTCGTTGTCATTATGAAATTTTAATCAAACGGCTCAGTCAGAATATTCCACGGTAACACGAAAATCGTACGTAAGTAGCTTCTTATTTTTTTTTTTCTTTTCTGATTGCATTTTATTATATCGGTAAACCTGCTCATGGCCTGTCAATAATTATCGGGTTATTGTAGCCTGTAAATACCTCAAGATGAACGTCATCTTGAGATATGAGGTAGAAATCTCCAATGATTTTATTTCGTCTGTCTCACCTTTGAACTCTGAACGCATGGCTATAAAAAGCACTATACAATACAACATAAACATAAAACAAAACAAAAAAACATATAATACATCTTGTTCCAAGCTTCTGTATTTTTGCCTAGAAGATTTTGTACCGAAAAAGGTAATCTTGAATGGTTTTCCTTAGTATGCATACAAGTCAGATCCTAAGCTAACAAACTGCTCGTGACCGTCTTTTCCCGCCATTGAACTGGTATTTTAGATAAAACATTTGCGGGTGAAGTAGTTTTACCTCATCTATGTTACATTAGCGTTTAAGATTACCTAAGCGTTGTAAGGAAATGTTATTTTCTTAGAAAACGTAAACGGTACTTTATATATTTTTTCATTCTATTAGAATACTTTCAAACTATATCTAATTATTTTTTACGTCAATTCATAGCTTCTACGTTACGAAAGTCTTAACTAAAAAATACAAACATTACAAAAAACGAATAATTAATTAGCGTTCCGTAAATGAGTCCTATAGGGTACGATGCAAAGTAATCACCAATTGTCTTTCCGCTCACGAAAACAGAGTAAATTAATGGCAATGAACCAACAACGGTGTTGCTTGGAATGGCAAAGCCCAATTGAAATGCCTGGATACCGGCCAAAATCAACAAAGAACTTTTCTTTGGCGCTAATTGAATTTGTAAACCACACTCTCGGTCAAATTTCAAAAGTAATGTCGCTGTTTACAATACCATTCAAAGTACACACAGTGGTGGTTTTCAAAACAAAATGGCTTCGCTGATTTAATAACAGGTCTAACTATATATACTAGAGGTCCCGCAGTAGTCGAAATTCGACTATAACTAATTGGAATTGTAAGTTTGTACACTTGTTTGTGTATTGTATTTTATACTTCTGTAATCACAAATTTCACCAAGACTGACAAACAATATTTAATCTATTCTCAATTTGACAACAGACGTCAAGAACAAAAGTTTGACAATAAATAGTATGCATGCGTGTGAGCGTCAAATACATGGTATGTAGTGTGTGTAATGTTTTCTTTATTGATTTAATGTATCTTTTATGCATTATTTTAAAAAAATATTAGCATTGTGCACTTCTTCTCTATATTGTCTATAAGTGTGCAAAATTTCATACTCCTCCGTTCGCGCAATTTTCGTAAAAAGGGATACAAAGTTTTTGCTTCACGTATTAATATATAGATTTTGTGGACAATAGTAGAAGTAAGCGACTAAATAAGTAAGTAAGTAAACAACATTAACTTCACGTTCGATTTGTTTATTTTTTAAGGAAAAATGGAGTCCTTTAGGACTACTAGAGTCCTGTAGTATTGAGGGTTTATTTAAGAGTTTTATAATCATTATTCGTTAAGCCCTTCTGTATACTAGAACAGCGTCTAAACATAACTAGCTCTTTATTGTAATAGCAGACGTTAAACCAATCTATGACGTATGCATTTGAATTAGTACAACAATGGGTCCAATTATAGCTGCGATAGCGCAAGATCTTGTGCAGACTATCTTGTGAAAATAGGATTTCAATTTTATAAAACGGAGTGTGGTTTTTCATTTAATATCAATTACTCTAAAGGATAAATATTTTTAAGTTCGATGTGTTGTAAGATCAAACGCCTTTCTCCTCGATATTTCAGGAAGGGTCCACAATTTTCTACCTGCAGCGATCTTTTCAATTTCCTCACTAGGGTTGGTTGTGGTTAAACATAAATTCAACTTGTAACGCACAAAGAATTTATAGGGTATTCGCTCTATTAATTTGTTCCGTATTTTGCTCATAAACCTTGTCAAAAGAACTGCTGAAATAAATATATTGCGTCAGGGTTTCATTGTGCTTTTACGCTGATATTTTTTCTAAAATGATTTATGTGCTGTTAAGAAAAGTAGCTTTCGCTTAGTTTCTTTCAATTTTTATTCTTGGCAACAAGTAACAAAATAGAGCCAGAGCATTTATGCGGAATCCATTTAAATTAAAGGAAATTAGTACCGAAATTATACTGTGTTTTAAAAGTTTATCGTTAAACTATAATAGATATTTAAAATTACATGATTTTCAGTTATCAGTAAAAATATGATGAATCAATACTGTACTGAGACCTTAGAACTCATATCTCAAGGTGGGTGGCGGCATTAACGTTGTAGATGTCTAAGGGCTCCGGTAACCAATTAACACCAGATGGACTGTGAGCTCGTCCACCGTTCTAAGCAATAAAAATAAAAATCAGTGAAACCTAACTTTGATAATTTGTTTGTCACAGGAGGTTACTGTATTTTGGATGTTACTGGATTCCTTTTTAACTAATACACATTTGACAGAGTTCACAATAGTGAACATAACTTTATTCTTAAATTGACAGCGTGCACACAGATTATACCGGAAACGGAAAATGATGCAAACAAAAACATAGATTACTATTAGACATTGCTTAGTAGATATTTAATACCTAATAATAATAAAATTAAAAAAGCAATGTTCAAAGAGCTAAGTATAATACGAGATTTAACAAGACAAACATCAATAAATCACAAGGTCGACGCGTGCCAACAGTCGTACAGGCATTAACGTTGTAGATGTCTAAGGGCTTCAGTAACTACTTAACACCAGGTGGGCTGTGAGCTTGTCCACCAATCTAAGCAATAAAAATATAAATATAAAAATCAATAAAAACCTAATAATAAAAAAAAACATAAATTAAGAAAGACATAATAAAATTATGTGGTGTCGTGGGACACCAGGTAGGAACGAAGTTCCTTCGGCTAATGTAGAATCGACACAATTTGCAAAATAATTACAAAATAGAGAGAGAAGGGATGAGAGAACGAAAAGAAAGAGGGAGAAAGAGAAAGGTATTATACACTACTCGCTTGTGTATACGACTGTCGCGCCTGCGCACGTCTCATTTAACGGTTTTATTCCACGCACTTTTTTCCACGGATTTTTTCTTACGGTTTTACACTATCACATTTTTTTCAGTTCGGTCGCGCAGCAAAATCCCTATCCCCTCCAAGCCTACCGTAAGGAACTTCGTTCCAATAAAATTAAAAAAGCAAAGTTCAAAGATCTAAGTAATACGAGATTTAACATGATAAACATCAATAAATCATAAGGTCGACGCGTGCCAACAGTCGGTCACGGCGTTTGTTCGCGGCGCACAAATGGACTGAGGATTACTACAGCTGGTGTTCCGAGCCTGAACGTGAATGCAGGTGTTGGCAATGGTTCAAACTCCGACACAGATGGCGCATTTCGTGAACACTACTGAGAATTATGACGCCAAAACTTAATGAAGCCTTCACTATCGAACAATCTGTAGGGAAATAATAATGTCCTATAGTATATTTTCAAAAAATATACTTAATTATCGTTTAATTATTTAATTTAATTTAATTATTTAAACATTAGACACATGCCATGTATTTGACGCACACACGCATGCATACTATTCATTTACTGTCAAACTTTTGTTCTTGACGTCTGTGGTCAAATTGAGAATAGATTTAATATTGTTTGTCTTTATTAATAATTTTTTTATAGTGTAGCCTCAGCGAAATTTGTGATTATAGTATGTGTACAAACTTACAATTCCAATTAATTATAGTCGAATTTCGGCTACCGGGCGACTACTAGTTTTCTTAAATTTACTAGGTTATCAATTAATTGTAAAATATTTAATGTATTACATTTCCTCTGAGCCGCTAAATAACAAACTGAAAACTCAAACGAGCCGCGTTATATGAGAAGAGCTAGAAAATATTTTGTGCGCAGAATGTTTAAAGCGTTAAAAAAATACAGAGAGAGGCATTTGCATGGAAAGTATAAGCCGGGATTGTCAACCGACGATTTTGAGCGTGAATGTGCTTCCGTGAAAACTTCACAACGCCTCACACTCATTTCATCCACTGGCTACGTTTTTCACGTGTATCATCAACTCTTTTGTCATGATTTTTTTGAAATAGTAAGCGAAATTTCACCGTTTATGATTGTTTTAGAATAAGCTCTGTCGAAAGATTTTGACGGAAAAAAATGCACTGAGATAAAAAAAAAAATTGCTTAGATGAGTGGACGAGATCTCAGCCCACCTGGTGTTAAGTGGTTACTGGAGCCCATAGACATCTACAACGTAAATGCGCCACCCACCTTGAGATATAAGTTCGAATGTCTCAGTATAGTTACAACGGCCGCCCCCGCCCTTCAAACTGAAACGCATACTGCTTCACGGCAGAAATAAGCAGGGCAGTGGCACATTATAATATGATATTACTTACAAAAATTGTATTTGTGTTGCTAAGAAAAGTATTGATGGAAAATGAATTTACGGAAGTACATGCCCGTAGTTTGGAATGGTGATGTGGATTATGCATATTACTGGTCGTAGGACGTCTTGTGAGTCCGCACGGGTAGATACCATCACCCTGCCTATTTCTGCCGTGAAGCAGTAATGCGTTTCGGTTTGAAGGGTGGGGCAGCCGTTGTAAGTATACTTGAGACTTTGAGACCTTAGAACTTATATCTCGAGGTGGGAGGCGCATTTACGTTGTAGATGGGCTCCAGCAACCACTTAACACCAGGTGGGCTGTGTGCTCGTCCACACATCTAGGCAATAAAAAAATTGAAACTATCAAGAACAACAAGCGCGATTTTTCTTTTAAAATTCACAAATCTGTTGAACTCACTTTTTAATTTCGTAATAAAGAATAACTACTCTTTACTTTTCTCATACATATTTCTCTGATACTCACATTCGCTTCAGTCTAGGTAAAAAATATTCCGATCCTAGTGATAAGGTCACGTAAATCAAATATTGGTAGGTAATAAAATCTCGGAGCGCCTGTGTCAGAGATATCCGATATTACGTTTTACATAAAATAAATGTGCACTATGTACTTTTATGTTAGCATATTTTCTCCTGATCAAAATACATAGTATTTTAAGACTAAAAATCATCATTTTCACTTGCAATAACTTCATTTCAGATTCAAACTTTGCAAGCAAAAAAAAGGTTACTATTAAACACTAAAACAGCATCTTTTCTTAACACGTTCTTATTAGCTTCGTATATATCTAACGGAATATTTGAACAACATCTTCACCGACTTTAAGACGTTTGATCAACTTGAAAATTTGCCATGCGTCAAGGACAAAGATAGGACAATCATTTTATAAC